TAAACCCATCACTAAGTCCCCCATTTAACCGGTGTGGGACAAAGAAATCAGTCCGTATCATTCGACCCCCCATAAGGCCCAACATCCTCGTTGGTCACGACTGGTTTCCTAGGCCACCACTCCGAGTTGGCTCTGATACCATTGATACAACACAAGGGAGAGCCACACCCTAAAAGCTAGCTGTTAAGGTGGGAGAACCCTTGACTATATAAACCCATCACTAAGTCCCCCATTTAGCCGGTGTGGGACAATGAAATCAGTGCCTATTTTTTAAGCACGAGGGGTACCGATGCTATTTGACTTTTCAATTACTATCAAAGTAAATTAAGGATCAACATTAAGTTGGTTCCTTTTTGCGATTTAAATTATTATTATTATTACTCCTCAAAAATTATTATTATTGTTATTATGCCAATAAAATAACAAAACAATTGAATTAATGTCACAATTTATAATGACACATATTCCATCTGTCCCCAGAATCAATTCCACTTACCATTACAAGGTTTTGAGATCAGCTCTTGAAATGAACATTTGGAGTTTTGAAGAAAGCGCTGAGATTATTGTACCATAAGATTTCTCAAATGAAATTAGAGCAATAAATTGAAATTGTTATTGCAATATGTACTTTGCACAATTTTATTCGCCTTAATCAAAATGAGATTCAAATCTCACCAAGGCAGCCAACAATAGGAGCAGAGATCAAGACAATGTTTGATGAGCAAACTTTTAGGGTTGAAATAACCTGTAATATTTTGCAATCACGTTGAGCGTGATTGAATAAATGGTGTGTAACTTTGATAGTATGATTATGTTAAAAATGATCACATTATTTAATTTTTAGAGAACATTTTTTTATTATTTACAAACTATAAAAATTAAAATCAACAAAATAAAGTATTACCTTTCTTATAATTATTAATAAAAAGTATTTCTCCTTTTGTGTCATTATTCCTGGGACATGGGTTTGTGACATGAAAATTAAGAAATGTAATATTGATGTTAAAGAGTAAAATAAGTAGGAATTAGTGTGCGCCACACAAATGTTACTTAATATGGTTTGAGACAAAAATAGTGGAACATAAAAAAAGAAACATTGAAAAATGGAATAGAAATCATTTTGATAAAAATATGAAATTAAAAAAATATAATATTTATTTGAACTCCTTTCTCTCACTCTTAAATTTCCTTCACCCTCTGGAGTTTTGCAAATCCTTCTAGTTTCTTCACCCCTTCTAGTTTTTTTAGCATCCAACTTTGTTTATCCAATCGAAAAGAACATAGCCTAACACTATATGAGACGATTTACCTTAGTGTATGGTGTTTGCTAATGATTTTTGCATAATTGAGAATAGAGTAAAAGTTAATGAGAAGTTAGAGTTGTGGACCGCAATGCCAAACTCTAATGGTTTTAGATTCATTAGGGCTAAAATGGAATATATGGAATGCAAGTTTAGTAAAGATAGAAATGAGGATGAGTTTTTGTCTAGATGATCGAGACATCCCAACCCGCGATCGTTTTCGATATTTGTGTTTTGATATACAAAAAAGAGAATTTGAAGGAGATGTTGAACACCGAATATATGGGTGGGTTAGTTTAAGTGGAAGAATGCAGTTGGGATGATGATTCGACCAACAATGTTATATGGTATGAAACAATGGGATGCTTAAGGGTGTAAAATCATGTAATATTAATGATTATTGGAATGTGTATGTTAGGAAAAATGTGTGGGCGTACTAGAAGTGACATAGCAATCCAATGACATGAGAAACAAGATCATCCAAAAAGGCTAGAAGTGACACTTATAGAAGATAAATTATGTGAAATTCGATTCGATAGTTTAGACAAATACAAGAAGACCTAATAATGCACCGGTTAGAAGGCTTGAGGGCTGGAGAAATGATTTTTGCAAAAGAGGAAGAGGGAGACCCTAAAAGACATGGAGTAAGTAGTAAGTGATTAAGAATGATTTGTCCTAACTTAGATTTGGATAAGAGCATGACCACGGATAGAAAGGAATCGTGAGACAACATTTTGTAAATGACGAAGGTGATTCACCTCTTGGTTCATCTAACGGACCCACATTACTTGGGATAAGGTAAGCATGGTTTCAAAGGTGTTTGTCGCCTTGAGGCGACGAGTTTAAGGCTCAAAGGCGCCTAATGTTGGTATTTCAAGGCATATTCTTAGGTGGATGATGCGTATCAAGCATATGAGGCCCAAGCCTCATGTTGGCATTTCATTTACTAAGTATGTTTAGTTTTATCTTTTATTTAGTATTTAATGAGTATATTTTAATTTTATTATACTTCGTTATTTGGCGTGTGCTTTTTATCATGCAAGGAGTAATGATTTTTATTGAGGATTTCAAAAACTAATAAGTTTCTTTGTTTGTTAAATATGATACTTTTGGACTTTCAGTTGAACTAGTATTTTGTTATTCACAATTATTTTGTCAATTCACAAATATCATTGGATTATTTTGTGCTAGTTAAGCCTTGTTTTTTACAATTACAATTCTATTTCTAGTGTTTTATTATTTTTGTTGTTGTATCCTTGCCGCACCCTCATAATTTTTAGAAATGCCGTTGTCCGTCCCTGTTCCCCTCCTCGTATATGCACCCGTGCCTGTCCCAGTGCAACCTATATTACGAGTAGTAATCAGAGCCCAAGTTCAAGACTCCTGACTCTAGTTAAAATTAAGGCAAAAGAATGTTAAATTTAAGGGAAAAGAACAAACCCTTAGTCTATTACTTCTTTACTTGTTCTCTTATTTGGTAAGATCACTTATTCTCATAGTTTCTGGCTGTTTAACATTATTTGATTAATTTTATATCACATACAAAGTATAATAATTTATCAACGTAGGAAGAGTACTACTCTATTTCATAATATGATTTATGCATTCAAGTTTATTATTTTACTAATTTAATTTAGATTAAGTTGAGGCTTACGCCTCATGTCATGAGTCCCATTGCCTCGAGGCCCAATTTTGCTTTTCAAAACCTTGAGGATAAGACTTAGTTGTTGTACACATTTTTATTTCTCTTCTATACTCATCTAATATTACCAAATCAAGGTTACTATTTTCTGCATCTGGTTAAACAAAATCAGAATTACACTCATTAATCTTTTTGAGCCAAGGGTTTTTCGGAAACAGCCATTCCGCCCCCCACAGCTAGGGGTAGAGCCGTAGAGGTAAGGTATGCAACATCCTACCCTCCCAGACCTCACTGGTGAGAATACACTAAGTTTCTTGTTTACTTGTTGCTGTATCATCAGGTAGGAAATAAGAATGAATTGTTCCATCGATTACAAATCACAGGGAAAGAAGAGGATATACGATCAAAATTCTGTAAATGAACAAACAATTGCCACATATTGTAATAGTTCCCATATTTATTCCAGATACCTGCTGCATTAATGGAATAATTTTTCATTTTGTCGTGTGTACGTTTGGTGGTGGTGGGGGGAGGGGGGAGGGGCACACGTGTGGCAAGG